CTGCCCTCTTCATTTCCTCGGCCTGCTCTTCCGTGATCTTCGCGTCCTCGACGTTCGCCGTCAGAGCCTCGACATTCTGAGCACCGAACTCCTCGCTCTGGTCGCAACCCTCGTCGAAGTTGCCCTCGTCGCCCCCCTCCAGCTCGCAGGCGCCGCCTTCGGACCGACCGAGAGGATGAGAGGAGGCGGAGGGAAAATAATGAGCCCCTTTCTTTGGCCGCGCGCCGACGCGATCGACGCCGTCCGACCCCGTCGCCAGCTTCGCCCCGGCCCCGTTTGCCCGGCACCGAACGATAAGCACCCGCGGCGCCCATCTGGCGAAAGGCCCGCGTCGCGGTGTCGTAGTTGAGCCGACCGTGAATCAGGGCCCCGACGTTGCGTCGCCTGCGATGGGGGACTCGCCCCCTTCAGCTTTGGCCGCGCGCGCAAATCGTGCCCCGCGGCCCCAAACAACTGGGCCTCACGTCTACGGACGCGCTGCAAAAATGCCCCCTTGCGGTCGCGGCCGCTTTGCGCAGAACCTTCCAAACCGGCCCCGGCACTTCATCTCCTTCGCGCTCTCCTACCGCCAGGTCCATGCGTTTCTAATTTCAAGCCGCGGAGTCTTTCGTGAGCTGAGCCTCCGGGGCGTCGTCGAAAGTTGTCCGCGAGGTTCAATCGAGGAGGCGCGCGTGTCTCCAAGCGCCCCGTCGTCGTCGTCGTCGTCGTCGTCGTCGTCGTCGTCGTCATCGTCGTCGTCGCAGCCGCCGCCGCCGCCGCCGCCGCCGCCGCCGTTTGCTTATTCGCCCCCATATTGCGTTTCCTGCTGCCCCTCGCCCCCACCTCCTCATCCGCGCCTTCGTCGTCTATTGTTCCGCCCCTTTCTCTTTCTGTCCCCCTCCGTGTCCTAACGTCGTTGCTGCTCTGCGTACCAGCGCACGTCCATGCTCGAAGCAATTAGTTGGGCATCTTCTCTGGATGGGCTGGTGGGGGTACTTTTTTGGGGGTCGCGGCCGCGAGCGAAGAGCGCAGGCTGCGAACAGGGTGTCCGGGCCGACGGGCAAGCCTAATTAACTACTGGGCGCGACGCAAGCCAGCCGGGCCAGCTCGCAAGGCGGCAGCTGGTGCAGCAGGGCGGGGGCTGGCTGGCTGATCTGGAACGCCCAGGGAAGCTCGAGCAACGTGCAGCCCTGAGCAAAATGCCCCGGAATTCTGTGTTACGCGCTGCGGCGTCAGACCACACAGGTGGAGGTGCAAGCTGGGACAGGTGGGTGACCTGCACGTGCGATCCTCTCAAACATGGTGGCGGGGAAAAGCGAGGTATTCGATGGTCGAATCGCCAGGGGGCGCCAAGGGCCAAGACCGTGACGACGGCGTAGACCAGCCAGGTAAGCTGGGCAAGGGCCGTGTCGAAAGCGTAGACCTGCCTGGTCGGCTGGGACGGAGCCTGGATGGAACCCTGCGTACGACGGAAGGCTGAACCACTCCGAGGCAACCGCCAGTATCCAGTGGGGCCCACCAGTCCCGAGCAAGGGCAACGAACCCGCCCGGAGGAGAATCCCGTGGGCCCGGCCCATGGCCGCACGCACGACATAGCGTCGCAGAGAGCCGCGCGGAGCGCGGAAAGGAAGCCAGACTGGCGGGGATGAACGTCGCCAGCGTGGCCGGACAGTAGGCGCCAGGGGGCAGAAGCGCCAGGGGGCGATCTCCCACGTTGCGATGCGGGGGCACGGAGCCCTGACCGTCCACCCAGCCCGTGAGGGACCCTCCTGTGGTGGGGGCGGTGAGGACAAACATCACCAGCCGGCCACAAGGAGGGGCCCGCCAGGGACACCCGGCGCCAGGAGAGGGACAGGGAGAGGGCGGGAGCCCGGGCCCATGATCCAGGGATGCAGCTAGTCGACCTGCTGGCCCCGGTGTCAGCGGCCTGCCAGCATCACTGGCATCACTGTACCTGAAAGTGTGCCGAGGTAACCAGGGGTGCAGCTAACGGCTGCTCAGAGATGATAAAAATCCAGGGGGCCGCAGCTGCTGCTACGAGGGGGGACGTCTCACGAAGGCTGTCACAAATTCGCAAAAAGATTTTCCTGTTCGTCATCACGTTTCCCCCTATCCTCATTCCACTCGGCATTGCCGCCTTCGCTCAAAAAACAAGTGCCATCCCAACTCCCCTTCCCGCCGTCATCCCCCCTTCCACGTCATTTTCTTCCTCGTCCTCATTGTCGCGCAGTGTTGCAGCCTGTTTTCTTCCTCCCCTTCGCTTCGCCCAGATCTTCCTCGCCCTCGTCCCGCGGCGGGGTCGGGCGAGGAAGGAGGATGCCAAAACAGGAATTCCCGGTCCTCCTGTGGGCCAAACTGTTCTTTTTGAACCCGCGGCGCCGCATGTGCCCCCCTCTTTTTTTCCTCCCACTTCCACCCTCTGCCCCTCCCGTTCCTCTCCCCACCCTCCCCCGGGCACATTTCGGCGCACCCGTCGCGCAGTTCCTGCTCCCAGATGGAACTGCGTCCCTGGCCCCGGCTGGGGTTCCCACGCCCCCCGCCCACCCGCCAGTGTCCGCGCGCCCCCCGTGCTTTCCCTCCCCCCGCAGAGGGCCCCGAACGGCCCTGACGGAAGCGTCCCAATAATACCCCCGCGCCCACTTCGGCGCGCCATTGCTGCGCTTCCTGCCGCGGGGAAAGGGCCGCCTGCGCGGCAAGTTCAGCACCCCCGCAACGTTTCGTGCCCCCGCGCGGCGATTACAGAAGCCTCGGCGCAAAACCGCACGTGCGCACAGCGCTGGAAAACCGACTGCATGGTTACAAGGGGTACGGGCTACAATACCAACTTCTCGCTGGGGCCAGCACGCAACCAGACTTTTATATGCAAGGCCGCTTGATTTGGCAAGCAAGCGATCGCCGCTCTCAGCCGCGCGAACAGCTCCAATACACAAGAAACCAATGAACAACTCAACGTCCAGCGCGACGTCCAATCTGCAAATGAAGCCACCGTACCTGTATAGACATGTTGCAGCCCTAGAAATTCTCAAGGGAGAACGATGCAGCGGACGATTCCGACTGCAATGCCAAATAACGCGGGCGTCAACATGAACACTCACGCCTTACAACGTCAATTCAGCAAGGAACCGCGCGCGACACCCCGGAGAATGCGAACACACGCATATATATATATATATATATATATACACACATGAACACGCAACTGTTCCACTCGCGGTCGGACATCCAAGCATAACCATGCGCTGCGAACAAAACGGGCGCGCAAGGCGGGTATCCGCGCAAGCGCGGGTCACTCGGCGTCCGCTCGGCAACCCCGATCGTAGGATCCTACACAGTGCCCGCGCGGACGGTATCGGCTTGTATACAGATTCGCTACGGACCCTGCGGGATCCGCAGCGCGGAGTGTATAGGACCTTGCGACCTTGCACACATCCAACATGGGCCGCATAGGATCCGACACAGAGCCGATACGGACTGTGTAAACTCGTGTAAAAATCCGATATGGACTGCGTAGGATACAATAGTGAGCCGGTTCATTTTGGATAGGGTCGTCTACAGATCCGATGTGGGATGTGCAGGAAACTATACAGAACGCATACGGGCTCCACAGGATCTTATACAGAACCGATCTGGACTCGATCGGATCCTATACGATACCGATACGGAACGCATACGGTCCCATACGTTTCCAATACGTGACGGTCGGATTCTATACGTGTTCGATACGGTATAGGACGCTCTACCAATCCAATACGGATCGTATAAGGTCCTGTACATATCCAGTACGGCCTGAATAAAAAATAACCTGCAAATGGGCAGGGGCACCCGTCCTGAACAAAAACACTGATTATTTCTTTGCCCGCCGCGACCACCGCTTGGGGCGCCAAACAGGCCTAGTTGATCGGATCGGGGTTGGATGCGACGCAAAGATGGACCGTCAAAACCCAGGATGAGCTCGTCAAAAGAATCGGCAAACCCGATTTCTGGCGCACCCGATTCTTGCGATTCCCCGAGCGATCAGAGGCCGATGACCCCCCAAGACCAAGTTTACATTGCATCTTCGCGGGGCCTCGTCTGTCCAATCGCGCCGCCATCCGCGATGAATCCATGTCGCATGTCGAATCCGCGCCGAATCTGAGTCGAATCGGCGTCGAACCCGAATCGGATACAAGAAAAGACAGTCATCAACAGGATAGACACGCCATCCGAAAATGCAACGTCCGACTTCCGACGACGATAACTTTCACAACGTGGACCTCTGGAGCCCTGGGTCCATTCCCTGGGGTCCAGCCTCCCATCCAGGTCGTTTTCTGGAGGTCATGGGGCTCTATGTAAGGCCCTGTGGGAAGTTCGGGTGCGGGAACTAACAACATGTATCTTCTGACTTTTTCGGACCAGCAAATTATTTTTGCGACGCGAGGGAGTTTGGCTCTCTTTTCTCGGAAGTCGACCCCCAGACGTTCTGGTGTGCGCTCTGGCCGAAGATTCCAAAGGGAATCCAGCCGTCACCACGAGGGCGCCCCTGGAGGCCCCGAAACGCGAGCAAAAGAAATCTTCGAGCACCGACCCCTGATCTTCGAGCCTCGATCCCTGGGCCGTGGGACGCAGAAGGACATACCAGTGCTGCGTGTCCTCCTTGGAGACGTGCGCCCGACCAGGTCACATACAACAGTGTCTTCGTACATCGTCACCCTGGCCGTATGGCCAGAAAACGCTGGCCACCGAGCATACATTATAAGATGTTTTGGCGCGCGCCTCGCTCCGCTGATCGGGTCGGGTGAAAGGGGGAGATAGCAAAGGGGGGGGTTGAGAATCAGCTCACGTAGCTGATTTTCCCGGCGCCTCCCGGCGCCAGAGGCGGCTATGTATCGAGGAATGGGCCCTGCGGCGAGGCCGAAACCAGCTGCATGCAGCAAATTTCGTACCCCCCCCTTTCCCAATCCCCCCCTTTCGCCCGGCCCGAGCTGACGGCGACGCACACAAGAGCATGGACCAGCCCCCCCCTTTCGAACGCCCCCGTGGGCCTCGATCCCCGAGCCGGCCGCGCTGCTCGTGGAGGCCGTGCCCTCCGTGGTGCCGCGGCGGCTCCGCGCGCGGAGGGCGTCGGGCGGCTGGTGCGCGAGGCGGAAGTCGCCCCGCCCCGCGGAGCCCACCGTCCTCTGCGGGCCCGGAACGGTCCTCTTCTGACAGGCCTCCCACGTGGGGTCCGAGTGGACGGGGGTCGGTGAATCGCGCCGCATCGCCAATGCATCGCCGCTGCATCGTTGCTGGACCGGGGATGTCGGTGATGCATCGGCGCCGTCGGCGTAGAGAACCGTGCGTTCCGCACCGTGCACGATCACTGATGCATCGTCGATGCGGCGGAATCCTCCGACCCGCAGGACCCCATCTCGGAGACCTGGACTCTAGACTTTTGGCCTGCCTCGAGGATTGAGGCTCGAGGTGTCCGGGCGCTTTTCCTCCGAAAGGCTCCTCGCCGCCTCGGCTGGATTTGGGCCGAATCGTGGGCAAGAGCGCACCGCAGCAAGTCTGAGGGCTGATTTCTGACCTCCGAGAGCAGAAGCCCTCGCGTCGTGGCGAAAAATTGCAGCGGAACGCTTCTGAGCATTTTCGGCTTCTGGGGGGCCCTACCCCCCAGGAACCTCAACTACTACCCAGGATGAGGATCCAGCCTCGGGGAGGCTCATCCGCGTCGAATACTGGCCCGCTCTTCGAGCCGCGTCCGGACGTGGCGACGACAACCCTTGGAGATGCTCGGGCCCTTCCTCGGAGGGCCCAGGGGAAGCGGGCAGACACCTTCAGACCCCCCGTCTGGGACGCAGCAAGATTGACTAGTAGATGTTTTCATCGGAGGCGCGCGTCCGACCCAAACAAGAAGAAAGAACATATTTATTGTAGAACATCGTTTCCCGAGCGGTATGGCCGGAAAGCTCCCGCCACGAAGCTTCAGCTGTCAGATTTCTCGGCGCGCGTGTCGCCCCTGGGGGGGGGGACGCACACATAGTATCAGTATGTCGGTGTGACGCCGATCGTCTCCTCAAGCCACATCTTGAACTCCGAGGTGAAACGCAATCTACCGAGGCCGTCCTGGGGCGCGTGCTGAGGCCAGAATTGCTCGATTGGAATTCAGCCGCGGCGGAGCAAACCCAACAGACAACTTCGAAGCTCGATCCTCCATCCTTGATCCGGAGTTTGGCGGCGCGCTCACGGGAATGGCGCGAAGCGTTACTTGAAGCCTCCCGGCCCCTCCAAGAAGGTCCATGCCTTCTACGAAACCCTCCGCCGTCGCAGAAGGCCGCCCCCCTCACGCCAAACCCTTGCGGGGGCCACTAATTAGCGGTGCGCGCGTTTGGTCCCCGACGCCTCGCGCCCGACGTGAAGTGGCCCCACTGTCGGAGGTACTCGGCTGCGTGCGCGAACTGGCAGGCGTCCTCGGTGGGCGGACGGAAGAGGCCGCAGGGGAACGGTGAGCTTCGCCACGCCCTTGCCCCAAGGTTGCCCTTTGAGTGCATTTGGCGTCCGAACCCACTCGGCTGTCATCGACCCCCAAACTTCTCCTAGAACGCGTCCGGAACATGAGCTCGAGGCGAATCCAGCCGCGGCGACAAGGACGTCCCTAGAAAGCAAGCCGAAACTCAAAAAAGCTCAAACCTGGGTGATCGACTAGTGGTCCTGGATCCTCCATCCTCATCTCCTCCTCCCTCCCTCCCTTCGGTTTAGACTGCCCTGCCGCGTCCCCCATGGAGCACCGTCCCGTGGTCTTGAAGGAACGGCACACCTGCGTGCGCGAGAAGTCGGGCCGCTTGGTGATCTCGCTGATGCCTGCAAGGAACATCTTACAGCGTAGCAGGACCCCAACCGTAATTACACCTGCACCGATCCTGGTCGGGCAGACGTGAACGGAGGAGCAATCAGCGCGGGGCCAACGTGGCGCTGAAGGGACTTTGAACTGCCACCCCGCGTGAAAACGACAAAATCAACTGGACTCGCGCAAAGAATTGTGGGCTGAATCGGAACGTGCGCCACATCGGGCCGCACCGGCATGGTGCCGAAAACGAACCGGATAGTTCGCGCCAGGACGCGAAACATTGCCATGCAAACGTCGGGCCGCATCGGATCATCGGAATAGCGGAAGCGAAACGAATCGGGCTGGTCGGAATCGACATCGAATCGGATCGAAATTGATCCTGATAGGTCGTTGAACACATGCATGTCTCTTCACCTCGTGTATTCTCCCCTGTTTATACCGTTGAAAGCGCTTATACATATACATATATATATATATATACAAACACCCCATCGCGAATCACGTCGTTAAGCAAACTGGGAACACCACACGAGCCGCACAGCATCCCCTCACGCGCTCGTCCGTCGGGCCTGGCCAAGCTCCTCCTTGGTCTGGGGATGATGCACATGCCCTCCTGGCTTGGTCAGGCAGGCATATACACAGATCCTGGGCCCAGGATCGGCCTGGCCAGGATCGGTGTCCAGCTGGACCTAGGAGTGAAAAACATCCTCCAAGAACATGAGACCCTCCGCCGGCCAAAACACACAGAATTTCCAAGGATCCTCCCCAGGATGCACACGAGCATCCAACGAACACGAAGAGCATGGAAGTACCTCCCCGAACCGACCTCGATCTTATACATCGGTCCGACTGTAACCATATTGTGGCCGACGCCCATCGACTGCAGGTAGGATCTGATGGCACGCAAGTCCGGCCCCGCTCAAGGCGTCCTCGAGACCGCGCTTTCCGGATTTCTTCAAGGGCTCGTGGAGGTCTTCGGGCTCAAGGGGGCGAAATTCCATGCTCTGCCTCTATTCGAAGGGCCGTCACAGGAGGCCAGAATCGTTTCGAACGGCTGCCTAAGGCTGGATTGATGGCCCGAATACAGACTGGAGGAAGGAAGAGTGCGTGAAAAGAAACACGGTGGTCGTGTTCGCACAAATTCGGGCCCCAAGACCCTCAGGGATCGATCCGGTCGAGAAGGCCCATGTAAGAAGGCTTCGGGTCGGGAGGTCATGATTTGTCCGTCGGACCTCATGGGGGGAAAAGGGATTTTGCAAGACTTCTGTCTCGCAGGAGAACGAATTTGACAGCTGAAGGAGGAGGGCGGCGATGACTTCCAAAGGACTCCACGAGGCCTCCAAATGGGGACACCAGAAGGTACCGATACCGCTACTCCCTGGACCTCTCCTGGTGTGCGTTCTGACGAGGGTTTCGAGACGAATCCAGCGGTGGCGTCGACGGAGGCCCAGGAAGCCCGGAAAGAGGGAAAACAAGGGGAGGGTAGAGGTATGGGTATCTTTTCCGTCCTCTGACCAAGTGACAAGAATGAATCGAAATCTTGACGCTCGAACCTCGAATCTCGATCCCTGGTGGCGTGCGTGACGTGGAACGCCGCCAGACCAGGCAGGCCGGAAACGCCGCAAAGCCCAAACACCCCACGGGCAAACCAGTGCGGCGATCCGCGAGGCGACCCCACAGACCCAGACCACTGGCGACTCGAGCAATAAATAGTTGGTCCTCGAATGCAGTATTCGGCCTGATCTAAGGAACGATGAGTGAATAAGGAACGAAACCCCTTTTTCCAAGTAAGTCTAGGAAGTCCGAAGGAACACCAAGGGGCCTCGCCGCCAAGCAGGCAGCGGAAAGCATGCAAACCACAGTAACGACCGAGCCCCTTCTGAAAAGCAAGGGCTCCGTATTCAAGCCGGACCCTGCACCTGTCGGGTCGGGCGAAAGGGGGGGATAGCAAAAGGGGGGTTTGAGAATCAGCTCACGTAGCTGATTTTCCCGGCGCCTCCCGGCGCTGGAGGCGACTATGTATCGAGGAATGGGCCCCTCGGTGAGGCCGAAATCAGCTGCATGCAGCAAATTTCGTAACCCGCCCTTTCCCATTCCCCCCCTTTCGCCTGGCCCGAACCTGGAAGCCGTCGCGGGGCCCCAGGACAGTCAACAACCGACTCAGGAGGAGACGACCGTCCCGAGGGAAGGAGTCGAGAGCTCCAGGGGCCAGCGACTCGAGAGCCTCGAGTCATCGGCCTGGGGAGAGGGAATGCGCCGGCCTGCCTCGGCCCACAAGTCGGGCCTCGGGGCGCCGTTTCGGGACGATCTCGGCACCCCCAGACCTCTCTCGACAAACTGATGGGAAGCACCCCCGAGCCCGAAAAACATCCCGAAACAATGCAGTGCCTGCCTGAAACATGTGTGTTTGACTGGGTTGAGAACAGAAGGAATAGGGACAACGGAAACATAGATCACGCCGCACACATTTCTCTTGCATTGTGAACCGCCCGCCGGCTGCCGTGCGCGAAAGTGCAGGCGCTGCCGCGGGTGCAGTTCCCCTGGGCGTGGAAGCCGCAGAGCCGGGTCTTGGTCAACAACGTGGCCGTTAGGGCAGCATTGCCCTTGCCGGAGACCTTCGCCTTGATTTTCGGCATCTTGCACGTTGAGGTATTCTAGTCCATGGACAAAACAACTGCGTATACACAAGCGTCTGGAGGCCTGCGCGAATTGCTTGGATCGACGCTGGACCCCCCTGGCGGCACCTCCGGCAAGCTTCGCACGCCAGGCAAAGGGGTACTGCGCCGATCCAAGAATGCCTCGCCGACCTCCGAGAAAATTTGTGTATACGAAATTGTTCTCCCATGCTCAAGACGCGAGGGAGACACGGGAACCCAACGCGTGCTTGCGCCCTGGATGCTCCAGAACCGACTCGAGCCTATTCAAAGTGGTATGGATGGCCATGCCGACGGCGATTATGCAAGGGCGCCTGACTTCGCGCTTCGTGCTGCGCGAGTATCTTCGCGCTCTCGCGCCGCCCCTCAAGGAAGAGGAGGAGGAGGAGGGAGGAGGATTCGGAGCCGAACCGCGAAGCACGAATAACTTCGCGCCCTCAAAGGCGCCCTTGTCAACATCACGTTGTATCATATTTGTCTGTTTCATAATTGCAGGGTTTCTTTGTCGTTTGCACACTGTGCGCATGTTTGCGTGTGCGTTTCGAATCATGCTCTTCTGGGACGTGCTCATACCGCTCACTTCATGCAGCTTATTTTGTAGTGGTTCACGATTCAGCGGGCCCATCTGATGTGTGCAGTTTCGCATTCTTCCTTACTTGGAAGGATCCATGTTCGTGCTGACTCGCATGAACAAGACCTGACGGCTCCCCATTGCCACCCGAACGTCCAACTCGTGGCTCGTTTCTTGGCGCACGCCCTGAGAAAAGTTCAGAGGAACTTCGTCTGCTTGTGGTCTGGCATAAATGTCCAGCCCTTGCGAATGCCGCTCGGCGATGACGGCACGCGGACCCCACACGCCGTCTCGGTGCGGGAGGGACTGCAGCCCAAGTCTCGCCATAATAGAGGGAAAAGAACCATGCACATACACCGATTCTGACCAGGCCCATCCTGAGCCCATGATCGGTGCATACGCCCTCCTACCTTGGCCAGGAAGGCACATGCACCGATCCTGGGTCAAGGATGGGCCCTGGCCAGGATCGGTGCATGTGCATAGTTCTCTCCGCCCGACACGAACGGTGGCTCCTGAGCTCGCGCTCCGCGCTGCGCGCAGCGCGAAGATCTTCGCGCTCCCGCGCCGCCAGGGGGGAATGAACCGCTCTCACGCCCCGCGCGCTCCTCCACAAGTTCGCGCTCCGCGCGGCGCGCAGCGCGAAGGTCTTCGCGCTCCCGCGCCGCCCGGGGGGAGAACGAGCCGCTCTCGCGCCCCGCGCGCTCCCCCACGGCGCGCTGCCCCCCGGGCTTGGTCGAGGTCGGCGGGGGCGGTGAGATCCCTGACCACCCTCCCTCCTCCCTCCTCCCTCCTCCTCCTCCTCCCTCCTCCTCCTCCTCCTCCTTCTCCTCCTCCTCCTCCGAATCCTCCTCCAAATCCTCCTCTTCTACCTACCAGCTCACCCCGCCCCCAACCCGAAAAAACCGAGTGTCGCGTTGGGGGCGGGGGGTGGACGAGGAGGATGAGGGATCGGAGCCGAAGCGCGAAGCGCGGATCGCTTCGCGCCCTCGAGGGCGCCCTTGCATGGGGAACCCTGTGAGGGGAGCGAGACTCGGTTATGACCCTACGTGCGCCCAGACGCACGGGGAGCGCCCGAGGACATACTCACGAAACCCCCGAGCCCCCGAGGCAAACAATTTGTCCAATTCAAAAATTCAACTCGGTACCGCAACTCTGACTGCTCTACGTCGCAACACTGCAGGCAACAGCAGCAGCAGCCCTGCGCCCATCACGCCAGTGCAATGCCTCCCGCACTCGCTTTGGCATTCCCTCTGGATCAGGCCATTTGCCCGAACTCGAACGCTTCAAATTATGCTCGCCTTTGGCAACTTTCGCTTCGCTCTGTTCTATCAGTGGCGTGGCACGGACTCTGCTATTACACCCAGATGTTGAACACATACAGAGGTCCATTGAACATGCGTACATACATGTCCGAGAGGAGGAAGAGGAAGATAGCGATGATCGAGGATCGACATGTTGAAACATGATTCGCCATATTCTGCTTGGAAACCACTGGAGATTTCTGGAGGAGGAGGAGTACCGACTCGACTAGTGAGACAGGAAGTCTAAATTAATTTCCAATTGTTTCTCCCTCCTCCTGCTGGGCCCTAGTGACTAGTGACCTAGTGGGGCCTAATGGCTAGCCGCGCCGAGAACTGTCAATCCCCGAGTCGGGCCCCGTGAGCGGCCAGGTCCGGGGCGAGTCGGCGCACGGCTGTGTGCACCAATGAGGAGAAGCGGCGCACCGACAAAAAGCAACATGCTGCTTTTACAATTGCAGTGTTTTTCCGCAATTTTTGTTCTGCGATGCACTTTTCAGGTCCCAGGCAAGTCAACAAAACCAAATATGGAATGAACAACTGCCCCTGGAAAAACAAACGGACGAGACGGGGGCCGGGCGTTGAACAACTCACGAGGTCGGAAGTCTGAACATTCCAAGCGGGCCAGAATGATTTTTGCGCAAAACTGCACAAACCAATTCATTGCGGGATGGTTTCGCAACTCCTTCATGGCGAAGCTCGTTGAAGGGCCTGCCCCGTAAACCTTGAATCCTGGTTCACGTGTGATGACGAGCGACCACTTGCGAGGGCAGAGCGCAGTGCATGGTACCAACGATGGCGGGTGGTGGCGGCGATCATACTGCTTACTGAAAAAAGTCAGAAGGTTCAACGCTTCACGATACAATAGCCGATCAAACATTTGCGCGCTCGACAAAAAACATCCCCTACATCTTCAACACTTGCGCTCGCATTCAAACTGCTTCATGTTCTCTTTCGACCGCAAGCCATAAATAAATGCTGCTTCGACACAAATTGAGACGCCGTGGGCCGTGTGATGTTATATAGAATGCACCAACGTCGTCTCACAAAGTGATTCCCCTATCCGAAATATTAGATTATCCTGAGAAAATGGGCTGAGTCCGAAATGAAACGGAGACCCCCCCAAGGGAAATCGGATTCGGTTTCGTGTTCGTGTCGTGAGTGCGGGCGAGGCCAAGCTGCATGGGCGGGCGAGTGGACTGAACCCGCCGTTTCTAGGACGAAACTTAATCCTAAGACTCTACCTCCCCGGTTGGCCGGCGGCGACCCTGGGGTGTCCCGCCGCTCCCAGGTCCAAACTGAGTCCAATAACTCCCCCCGGTTGGCCAGCGACGGCCCAGAAGTGTCCCGTCGGTGTCCCGTGTCCTGTGGCGCGATGCCCCGTGGTGGCCCATGAGATCGATTGCAAGAGCGATAGTGAGGTCGATGATGAGATCGATCTACAAATCGATAGAAAGATCGATCGTGAGGCCGACTGCGAGATCGATAGATAGGGAGATCGATAAATAGAGGAAGATCGTCAGCGAGATCGATTGGTAGACTGAGGGTGAGATCGATAGATGTGCAGACATATTGCCCTGTCACTGTACTTTCGCACTTCGCCGTGAAGGAAAGAAGAACTGTGCAAAGAAATGCCACCTAGATCAATAATGAGATTGGTGGTGGTGTTCCGTGGTGTCTCGTGGTGCCCCGTGGATAGCCAAGCCACTCGATAGTAAGATCGCGAGTGAGATCGCTGCTGACATCGATAGTGGGATCGATGGTGAGATCGATTCAGTGAGACGTTGGTCCATTCCCTTCCACAACATCCCTGTCACCCGAAAGGTGGTCGTATATGTGCGTTTAGTGGGATGCGTCCCTATTGCTTCTTCATTCTTCCGGTCTCATTCCTCGCACTATCACACTCACCCATGTGTAATTGCTCACACCACATCACCTCCCGCCTCTTTCCTTCCAACCATACACCTCACACTCACCCTCACACAGAGCTAGACCCACCCATACTCATGACACCCACTGTCAGACCCACCCACATCCAGAGTCACTCGATCTCATAACCACTCGTACTCAAATCCATCCATGCTCATATTCTATCCTTACTCAGATTCGAACGCACTGGGATCCCCTCATACTCAGACACACTCATACTGAACCAATCATGCTCAAGCAAGCCCTCTCGTACTCAGCCTCGGACCCGTCATATTAAGAGACGCTTGCACTCAGCCCATTCATACTCAGACTTGCTCGCACTGGGACGTATTCATACTCGTACTCACATCCATCTAGCGAGCATGGCACGTGGGCCGTCCATGGAGTGAAGACCAGGGGTGTTCTGTTCCACGGGCCCGTTCTCGCCCAGCCTGCGGGGACCTTTCAGGCAGAATGCTCTTTTAGAACATGGACGTGTGTTTGCGTGTGTGTGTGTGCTTTCAGGGCCTAGCTGCCGCCGCGATGTAGCAGGGATTGTACTTGTCCGCTGGCTCGCTCGCGCCCAATGTGTGCGGAATCTTGAAACAAAACGCAACGATTGGGAAGTAGTAAGAAGCGTGTCAGTTCAAGGCACCGTTGACACCGCGATCTAGGCATCGCACTTGGGCATCGCAGTAGGGTGTCGACGAAGGGTGTTGCGCGGGCCAGTTGGCGCCGATATCGCGGGGACATCCCAAGAAGAAGAAGAAGCCATGTTGGGAAGGAGACGCGTGTTTTTGCAGGGCCGCAGCGTCGTAGCAATCTTGCAAGGATCGCACCTGGTCCTCCCAAGGGTCGGGCAGGGGTGGTACCAGTGGCCCGCTGGCGCCCAGGATGGGGGGGCCTCTCAGGCAGAATGCCCGTTTAAGGAAGCGGACATGTGTGTGGGTGTGCGTGTGTGTGTGCGTGTTTGTGCGTGTGTGTGTGTGTTTGCGTGCGGGCGCGGCCGCCACTGCCCCTTGAGGGGCTGGCCGCCTCGCCTTTCCCGTGCTCCTCTGCCTTCTCTTTTCTTCCAACTGCTGCGCGCTCCGCCGCCAGCCGTGCGCCCAGCAACTGTGTGTGTGAGTGTGTTCAGGGCCCCATCGCCACCGCGATGTAGCAGGCATCGCACCTGGGCATCACGAGAGGGTGCCGACCAGGGGTGTTCCGTTGGCCCGTTCACGACCTGTTTGTGGGGGCCTCTCATTCCCTTCACGGGGACCTGTTTGTGGGAACCGTCGAGCGAAACGCCCGTTCATGGGAAGTAGAGGCGCGTTTTCTCCAGGGCCACTTTGGTTACCGCAGTGTAGCAGGCGGCGCCCGTGGGACTCCCAGGGGGTGTGCTGACTATACGTGTTCCGCGGGCCTGGTCGCGCCATGATTGAGGGGCACTCGTTTTGAGATGTGAACGTATGTCGCTTCAGGCCCCCGTTGTTTCTGCGATGTAGCAGGCGTTGCACGTGAGACTCCCGGAGGGAGTGTTGACCAACCAGTCGCGCCCATTTTGCCAGGACGTCTCAGGCAGAATGCCCGTTGTAGGACATGGACGTGTGCGCGTTTAGTGCCC